AAATGATTGATAGTAAATAAAATAAAAATATTGGGCAGACTAGATGGGCCAAATGGTTCTTATCCGCCATCACATTCTATGTTTTTTCTCATGTAAATTAATATTTGATGATATTGGAGATACAGAGTTCCGAGCATGCAGATTTTTTCTCTATTCATCTTTAAAATGTGTTCCATTTAAATTGATTAGTTCCTCTAAAATTTCCATTTGAAATTGGTATTGTCTCCTAAAGTAGACAATTTTTAGAATGTTAACATGGTGTGAAAACAAGCATTATATTAATCACATGCAAATATTTAACCAACTATTTCCTCACACTATCATACTTTAACATAAAATAGCTAATCATATAGTCAGCTGCTGCGAGCTGCAAAGCAACAGTTAATACTAAATGCTATAAAATCATTACTTACCTTATTTCACATTTAAAACCAGCCATAGGCTAATAACATTATGGTGCTTTAGCAACTTTTGAAGTACAATCCCATACGGACAGTTATTCTGTGTTTGAAAAGTTGATACAATTGCTAACGAGACTTTAGCTGTTTATTCCTTTTTTCTCCAAAGCTGCTTCACAACTTGATCTCTTACGGTATCATTTATCCTGGATCACATCATATCATTAGTCTCTGTTTTACAGATAGGCCAGCTTCCATCATTTGAATGATGTTGGACGTTGACATTTTGGGTGATCATTAAGTACTATTATTTTACCTGTCACTGGTGTGAGCTGACAACGCCATAGGTAAATCTTGTCTCACCTAATACATATTACGGTGATCCGTGGTAATAAAAAAAATATACCTTCATGTTTAAATCAAATGTTTTTACTTAAATTGTTTAATATATCACAATGAGTTTCAATCAAAGCTGCTTAAAATCTGGTAAACATTTTTAAAAATATTTGAATGTGTCAAAAATTACTAGGAGGGGTGTCAGACATAGTTAAAGAGATTAATATGATTGTCCAAACAGTTCAAACTATGAAAACAAACAGTTAATTGGACATGCCACTGCCCAAATACAAAATATATAAAAATCACTGTTTAGTAGATATACCTCAAATGAAAACTTGCTAGCATTTACATATGTATTTTTTTTATTGGGGTTATATATAAAAACAACTTGCAAAAACTGCAGATCTCATGTCTGCTGCCTTTGCAAGCCCTCCTCTTCTTACAGCGCCAAAACTTTATGTGGCTGTCCAATCACAGTCTTCCCAATGCAGTTCAATGAGAAATCTTTGAAAGGCAGGTCCTCTGGCAATAGCTGCCTCTTGAGTTCGCTTCAAATAAGCTTACCAAACCAGGAAGTAACAGGACCTGTTATCTGCTTGTAAAGCCAGGGGGTGTAACTAGTATAATTTATAAAAGATTAAATTTCTAATGAAATCTGCACTAATTTAAAAATGAAAAAAGAAGACACACTTTTCAAACATAAAACTTCTCAGCAAACCAAAGTGCTCTAGGGGTATGGAGCGTCCCTTTAAGCTTTCTGCGCTCGAATCTTTTTAGAAACAATTATGTTTTTAATTGTTCAGTATTAAAATCTTTCATTATGTTTTGTTTTTTTCTAATGTATACATTTATTGAATGAGTTCCATTCTCAGTTTTCATGTTTACCTGATTGGTAGTTGTGTCATTTCATTTAGACAAATAAATGGTAAGGAAATAACCGTCCAAAGACAATATTAATAACACATCATACATTTTCTGTCCAATGAACTCCCCATTCAGAGCAATTATTTCCATTGTGTCATTTAGAATATTTTTTCCCCCTCCATTTTCTTGCATGTAAATTATTCTTTTTTTAGCTGCCATTCAAATACAAATATTGAGAATTTTAGATAAAACTAATCATTCTGTCATTGCCTGTTCTGAATCACCATGGAGATAATGATGACAGATGAATATTCTCACATAGAATGATAACCTCCGTACATCAATCTTCCTAAAACATATTTTGCATTGTCAGTTAACTGAACTGTCTGCACTGTAACATAATGCTAATCACATTTTCTGGTCCCACGTTCCATTACACTTTTTTCCTCAAATTACAAACACAGAACAGTTGCACATTTTATTTAATGTGTGACGTGGTGCTTGATAAGACATTTTGTTTATTAAGCAACAGTTCAAAAGATATGCTTTAGTCCAGTTACGTAGTGGCTGATGAAGTTTCTTATATTCTTTTACAATTTTCAATATTCCAAAAGCAGTATGCAAAACGTTAGGCTAGACACATGGTTAGCACTATAGTATCTGAGTAAAACTTAAAAGAACACGGTATTCCTGGTGCTACAGTTATGATGTGCCTACCTAGTTTCAGTGTCCCCCTCCTGGTCTAGAAATAAAAATGAAATAAAATTAAATAAAATTAAATGAATAAAAGTAAATTACTCATCTTCTCTCCAGTGCTAAGTCTCCCTATGTGCTACCGTAGGGTCCTCCTCTTCTCATTGGGAACAACCTGAATACAGTTGTTCTCTATAGCAGACTGTGAAAGTACTGCGCATGTGTGTGTGACAGT